GATCAGAGTTAGAAAGGTGGATTTGGGTGGGAAAGGAAACCTGGTGACAGGGAAGGGTGTGACTTATGAGACACTGGGTCCAGAGGAGCTTGCAGCAGATGCTGGATTCAGGGAAAATTCTTAAATGCTCTCAGTGCAAAGAGATTTGCAAAGCAATTATTCCAAATTAAGCTTATCCACTTTGTCCCCTTTTGTTAGAGTAAGTTCACTTGATACAGATTTTTTTGATTTTTTTTTTCTTGTTCTTCAGTAAGGACTTGCTGTGCCCTGGATGTGTTTCTGGAATGCATTTTACCGAGGCTTTGTGGATGAATAACATTCACTGTGCACTTGACTCTCAGAAGTGGATGAAATCAGGAAATTCCCATCATTCCTGTCCTGGCCTCGAGCAATTCCCCTTCCTTGTTGAGCAGCCAGAGTAGAAGCAGTGCTCCAGGATGAAGGGATTTAACCTACAACGTTTTCAAGGATGCAGCCAGGAATTGTGACCAGCCAGCAGCTGGGCTGAACACCCAACACCATGCTGGGAGCTCAGCAGCCTCTGGGGAAAGACTTTTTACTGTGTCAGACTGCTGGAGCCCAGCCTTAGGCTCAGGAAACTTTTCTGGCTGAAGGGAAGGGACTGTGGTGACCCTGGGTACCTGCAGTGACAGTGGGATTGCTCAGAATCTCAAACTCACTTCCATCAGCTTGGGGTTCACTGGCTTTTGGCTGATCAGCACCCGGACTTTGGTCTTGGAAGGGCAGGCAAAGCTTTGTCCAGCATCACAAATCTTGTTCTTGCATGGGATGTGTGGTGAGGAGCCTCCTAAGCTCTGCTGGGATGGGTGAGACTTGCAGCTCTTCTTGCAGCAGAGTCTGGCCCAGGGTGGGTGCATCCATGAGTGTCTTGGACAGGGAACCACCCTGTGTCTCTGGAGTCCCTCTTTTTGGAATGCCTCACTCTGGAGGTATAAGAGAGTAGGTTTGGGTTGGGTATTAGGAAGAAAGTCTTCCCTGTGAGGGTGGGGGGCCCTGGCAGAGGTTGCCCAGAGAAGCTGTGGTTGCCTCTGGACGCCTGGAAGTGTCCAAGGCCAGGCGGGAAGGGGCTTGGAGCAGCCTGGTCTGGTGGGTGGTGTCCCAGCCCATGGCTGGGGATTGGAATGAGATGATCTTAAAGGTCCCTTTCAACCCAAACCAATCTGTAGTTCTATGAACTCATGAAACTGAAGTGGAGAGCTGTGGATTCAGCTTTGGCTGTGAAGCAGAACAGCATTTACTCTGTCCTTCCTGTGTTGAATAGACCAAACAACTCTGTCTCTTCCCTTTTCTCCCTGAGGATCTCTGGGTTGGAGAGGGACATAGTGGTCAGCTGGAAAAGAAAGCAGTTTCAATATTTTAGAGAAATTAGGTGTTGAGCAGTGGTGCTGATGGGGTTCCTCAGAAGAAGAGAGATGGTGGGAGGTAAAAATTGCATCAATCAGGACAGAAAAATGCATCTATGGTGGGAATATAGTCATGTCTGTAGTTTTATGAGGGCACATGGTGCTGTGGAAGAGACTGGCACTGCTGCCAGGGAAAATGAGGGTGAAACATGGGCTGCAGATCCTCATCAGGGCTCTTTGTCCCACTGTGTGGTGGCTTTGGAGGCCTCACCCAAAACACTGCCTTGCTCTGGGGTGAGAATGGGACAGCACAGCTCATGTCCTCAAGCATTTAGGGCAACTTCAGAGCTGCTTGGGCTGGAGGCTGGCATTCAAACAGTGAAGAGCTACCAAAGCACAGATGGTTTAGCAAAACCCACAAACCTAACCAAAAAAATCCCCAAGCAAACCCTCCCTCCACTGCCTTAAAAAGAAATCCCAAACCAAAACACCCTAAAAAACCCCAAACCAAACAGCACCCCCAGCATCACCATCCAAACCAATTATGCTGCCAGGAAGTTTTTCCCTGGTAAAAATATCCCTAAGTGATGCTAAACCCATTAGGAAGGAGGTGATACTGCCTGCAAAACATTGCCATGTCACTAATGGGAAGAAAAACAACTTCCTGAGTGGACAAGGCATCTCAATTATTTTTCTCTCTCTGTGGATATATTTTTGTGCAGGCGCAGGTTGTGAGGGAATGAGATATGGGAACATCAGAAAAGGGGAAAATTGCCATAGGAAAAGTGTTCATCACTAATTAGGGTATAAATCATTTGGCTGCTTATTGGACTCCCTTCCCATTCTCCTTGGGGCCCTGGAGAGGGAGAGGTGAATGCCCACCGTGGCTGTGTCCTGCCTGCCACAGTGCTGGCCAGTGCTGTAGCTTGCTGGCTACAGGATATTGTTTTTGGGTTTTCAGCTGCCTAGGGGTTCCCTACATTTCATGTTATGCTTCTATTTTCTCCTGCGTTTTCCTAGTTACTCCTTCATGATTATTTTTATCCCGATTCCTGTTTTCATAGCAGAATGTGGTGAAAAATAGACCCAGTGAGAGCTGTCCTACCAGGCACAGCATCATTATATGCTGTTTACTTTTCCAATTTTTTAACTGAGACGTGAACAAAAGATACTTTTGCAATATCTCTTCTTGCCCTCATCTGCTTTTCTCAGTGGCATTTTGCTCTCTGGCTGTTTGGCATATATTTGTAAATTAATATTAGCTAGGTGCTGTGCTAAAAATATATTAACAAAGCATCAGGATCATCTCTCTTCCAGATCCAATCCTATGGGATATAAATTCCTATGGAAATTAATGGGCTGTCTGGATTCCAGTGCAGGATTGAGACTTCATGGTGTAGATGGATCAATACGGTGTAAATCGATCAATACAAGCAATCAAGGGAGTCAGGCAGGGTTTATGCTTAATACACTCCTGCTGTCATCCCTCATTGTGCCCAGGTTTGTGTAACACAAATAATCCTGCAAACCATGGGGCTTTGCTGGGTCCTCTCCATCCCTTCTCATTTCATTTCGTTGCTGGATTTTTTTAGGAGGTTGTCATTGTGCAGTAGTAATTAGGCTGGGAATCCTTTTTATTTTTTTTCCCCTCTTGAGTTTTGTTACTGAATGTGGATCTGGTTTTGGTATCAAGGTGTGTTTGGGCCATTCTGAGCTTCTCCCACGGGCTGGTGTGGGTGTAATTGGTGGAGAGGGGGCTGCGTGGTGGGAATGTGGGAGAATGGGGTGGTCACAGGGCCGGTGTGGGGTCAGGACCTGTCTCTCCCTCTCCTTTTCCTCGTCACCCTGCACTGCCAGGCTGGGAGCTGCTCTCACCTGGCCAGTCTGACCTGATCTGGCACCCACTCTGCTTCCTTCAGGAACAGGGCAGCCAGCCAGCTGTCTTAAATCAGGGAATTGTTTCATTCCTCTGTCGGAATAGAACTTTTGGAGGAAAAGAAAATTTTAAGAACAAAACCCTTTTCAAAAATGCGCTTCCCATTCCCAAACCCTCCCACCTCACGGCTGACTCATGGGCAGACGCCTCAGCAACAAACACCATCTTTTGTTTTCTGTCCTTCAGATGGATTTCCAAGCTCTAACCACTTTTAAACTACCATACACTTTTTTTTTTTCTTTTTCTCTTCCAATTCTCCCAAGGATTTACTGACACATGCTCTGTCAGCTTAGTTTTCCTCTCTTCCTGTTGGCCTTCCCTCCAATTCCACGCCCAAATACGCATACAGGAATTATCTCATGATTCAGGACAATACACAGCTCTTCAGATCTGCCGTGAACCATCTGCATGGCCTTGGGCAGTTTGCTACTGTATTGCAAACTCTCCACTGTGAACCTGCACACGATTTCAGCTTAAGTGGAAAATAAATGTTGGGGTGACCACACTCCAAATGAGGGCTGTGCTGGCTTGGCTTTGGCTCCAGTTGTGAACACGAGCAACTGTTCTGAGAAATGTGTGGCAGCAGTTTATTACAAGGATTTATACTGAGCTCTGCTGGCCTGTCTGGCCAGGCACATATGTCATGCAGAAGTATGTTTTCTTCCTCAGATGGTGCTGATCAGCCACAGCCTGTGCTCGAGCCCCTCATTGCTCTGGTTTGCCTGACTGACTCATTTTTTCACCCCTTTCAAACCTTGCAAATGACTTTTCTCTCCAAATTCTTCTCTTTTCACTGGAGACAAGGCACACAGCTTCTTCCCACGTAAATCACATTCCAAAACTTTGATGTCATCTTTATTTTCCTCTCTCGGGACTCCTGAGAAACCCTGCACAGGATGATTACTTTCATCTTATCTCTTCTTTAGGAAAGCCCAGAGCAGGGCTGCTTTGCTGGACCCTTTAGCATCAATAACAACACACCTCAAAGAGCAGCATCTATAATGGTCTGCCAGGTCCCAGCTGGGCTGAAGAAAGGTTTTCACTAATAACACTGCATTTTTATTTTTTTTCTGAAGACAACAGGGAGAAACTGGGAAAAGATGAGGATTTGGCAGTATGGTTTTATCATTAACACAGCTGCTAGGAGAACTGTAGCATGAAGCCCAAAGAATTTCAACAAAGCCTCAAACTTGATGCTTTTCAACATTTCCTGAATGTTTACTCTTCAGGTTCATACTGAAGTGCTTTAATAAAAGCAGACTGACTTCCAGAGGTTTGAGTGACCTGGCCTTCCTGTTGTCTCTTCTGCAGCCAAGTTATTAAAATAAAACCCTTTCAGCTATTTGGTTGAGATATGAAAGGGTGTTTGTGGTGTGGTGGCTGGAGTCCCACTGCCTTATGAACCACCCTGAGGATGGCAAGAATCCCTCTGGCTGTGTGGGGGATCCGAAGTGATCTATTTATAATTTTCTTACCTTGACAAAATGCAGGGAGTGACTCAAATATGTCCCATCCTTATGGAAATTAATTGTGTTAATGAGATCATTAGAATTTAGAGTAGTGTCAACAAACTGGTTTTTGCAGCTAATGATGGTTCTTGGGAAGGTTATGTCATGAGGAAGGCGGAGAACCTGGTCATCTATATATATGTGATCAGCCCTGAGCCCTTTCTTTGGGTTTCATTGAGCAATGCTCTAGTAGAGCCAACGTAGGCAAACAGCTGCCACCACCCTCACCATGAAAATAGAAGGTGCCTCGGTGGTCCTTGCTCTGGCATTTTTCTGCTTCTTCTCAGGTCAGTAACTTGTGATGTTCTCTGTGCTGGAATCTGGGACTGGCAGAGGACGCAGCCTGGGAGTGCCCATAAAGACAGAGAGAGGATTAGAGAGCCCTTGTTTTAAAAACAGTGTGGTGGTATAGCAGAAGAGCAACAATACATGTAGAACAACAATTTTGTTGTTGTTGTTGTTCTACGTGTATTAGTTTGATATAACCTGTCTTGTTAACTACTCTTTCTTTTTCATGTGGAAATACTGAAGTTGTGTTGGTAGATGAAAGCATGTATTTTTAATAGAATTAACAGTTAAAGAAGAAAACAAAAAAGCCAAACTCCCATTTATCTGAGTGGAAGAATACCAACTTACAACCAGACTGAATTCTTCCATAAAAAGCCCAACTTTGAGCAAAAATGTAATACAATTTTTTGTAAATTCAGAAAAATGGTAATGTCTTGTCAACACTTGCTAAGGAAGGCATTTTCACATGGCTGCAGTAATTTGGTTACAATAGATAGACTTCAGCAGGAGTTAGGTTTGAAGCAATGGTCTTTCAATTTCCTGCCAGTTTCTATTGAAAAAAGCACTAATGGAAGATTTCTTGACGGATCCCTGCAATGCCCCTGATGATGCAAAGGAGGATGAAACATATTATACCAGCTTTAAGTGGCTTAGTAAAAAGAAATAGGTATCAGCTACTCACCTGCTGACTCATTATTAATTTGATAATTTGTGTGAAGTATTGCAAATGGAATGGGCCTTGAAAAGGAATTTGTCGTTTTGGACAAACAACAATGGCCTAGCTCAGGTATCCCAATTTTAAGGAATGGTGAAGAATGCCAGAAATTCTTGTGTGGGTTAGATGCAGCTAGCAAGGCAGGAGTATAGAGTAATGGAGGAACAGTTACTGGGCCATCCTTGGAACTTGGATTTTAAGCCTGAGAAAAGTAACACAGTAAAGAAGGGCACAAAGACACTCAAAAAAATGGATGTGATTTTGCATTTGAATGACAAAAAGTGCAATGTTCCAGAAAGGACTGGGCATTAGAGAATTTCTATCAGTGTGAAATAATGCATTGGATTAGCTTTTATCAAGAGGTATTTGGGTGGATTAAGAAACTGCATCAAGTATTTTAATTAAATGCTTTTGCTTTAAAATTTCCCTTCAAAGATTTTTGTATGGTTTCATTGTTGGTTTTTCTGTCGCAGATGTTGCCAGTCAAGCTTCAATTAAGGCGAGTCCAACCTTTTCTATTCTGCTTCTCCCTTTGTTTTGCCAACTTACACTGCTTTAATGCATGCTCTGAGCAAAGTCCATTTAAATGCACTATACTTAGATGTTATAAAGCTTTTTCAGTGGTGGAAAAAGCAGTGAATCTGTCCATATTTAGAGACAACACTTAGGTAATATGGCAATGGCTACAGCTGACAGTGTGTGTTTGGTGCATGATGATGAGAACATATCCAAACAGCTCTGGGCTGGAAATCTCATGAAATGATGTTAGAAATGGCATAAATTATATTTTTAATGATATTTTAGAATGTAGCTTCTGATCCAGCAGAAACCCCGGCTTCTGATAATTTCTGAGTTTCATAATTAAAAGAATTAAGGCAAGTCCTTTGAGTCTCAGAAAATAATTTGATTCAATGACTTAGAAGTCAGATCCATTCATGTTTTAATCAAGCAAGCTTGTCTCCTTGGTAAAGATCCTTTCGGGAAACACAGTAGCCAAAAATAACTAAACGGTTCATTGCTTCTCCCTGGTCTGCATCTCAGTTACCCAGCAGAAGATGCAATGGGCTGCTGCAACATTGCACAATATTACTGCTCTGCTTCCTGGGAGCGTTGTGCTTTTCTGTGCTTGTCTTGCATGTGAATCACCCTTCAGTCACTCTGGCCCGTTCATTCCTCTTGCATCCCTCTGGCACTTCCAGGGCTGTATTTTCTGCTCTTGGCTAACTTTATAACGTGCAGTTCTCTGCTGTAGCGGGCAGCAATTTGCAGCTGTATGTAAATTAAATGTGTTCCTTAAATATATATTCCTTTCCCCGTGATTAATGGTTCTTGCAATGGGTTTTGAACTTTCTCCTTGTATTTTCTGCCTCGGGAGCCGCGAGCAGGGCTCTGGGTGCAGCCTGTGCCACGTGTGGTGTGTGGCCAGGCATGGGCAGGAGGAGCGTGGTTTGTGTGAGCAAACTGGTGCTGCTGGAAGCCTGCAGCACACCCAAAAAAGATTCAGTGTGAACAAACAGTTCTCAGGATCTTGCTGGGAGCCTCCACTGATTGCCCTCCTCTGTGCTTTTCAGAACGAATGCAGGAAAATTTGGTCACTCCTGCGCAGCGGGAAGTTTTCCTGCCCCACCACCAAGGAGCCCTTCAGCAGCCCAAATAAAAAAGGAGACCTCAACAAGTGCATGATGTGCCAAAGGCTGCTGTGAGTATCAGCTGCCTGCTGGCTCCAGGGGCAGCCCTGCCCACCCACAGCAGGTCCTCTCCTCCTGTAGCAGGGAGCCAACTCTCTGGAGGCTCCGTGCTATAAAGTTGTTGTCCCTGGCCAGCCAGACCAGTTTGTAGCCCTTCAGCAAACCTGTGAGCCCAGTAGCACCCCCCAGCTCATCACATGGTGGGGACTCACCACAGAGCGTGAGGAACAAATGCAGAGTGAAAACTTCCACAGATTAATGTCTTGTTTCCATAGATGGTGTTTCTTAGGATGGGGAGAGCTGGGTGTTGGGTAGGGAGAAAGGGTGGCACAGTGCCCCCAGAGCAGAGATGTTGAACACCCTGGACATGTGTCAGGGAGCTGAGCCCTGCTGCTGGTCTGTGCTGCTGCCTTGTGCAATGGGGAGGTGAGGTTGGCTGGACTGGCCTTTAATCACCCCTGTTTTGGCACTGCTCACTGCCCCGTCACTCACGCCTCCTTTTCTTGCAGGGAAAGAGACTCAAAAACCCAGGGGAGTGGTGGAGAGATGGACAGGAATGTGAACTCCTTGGGAAAGGTGAGGTGAAGCACGGCTGCTGGAGCCAGTTTTATTGGTGATGGCATCTCGTCTGCTGCCTCTGACCCGCTGCCCAGGGCGCTTCCTCGTCTGCAGCGTGGGAAAGGGCCCTGCCAAAGGGGAGCAGGGCAAACATCCCCAGCCGTGGGAAGAGCGTGAGGCTTTGTGCCATCCACCAGCATAAAAGGAATCAAAATTCCTGGTGGCTCCTCCCAGGCAATCACGGCACCCCCGGTGCGTGCCTGACCCAGAGCCCTGGCTCAGGAGGATGCCTGCCTGTTTATAAGGCACCACTGGAATCTGGCAAATATTTAATAGCAAGGTTGGCACACGTGGGCTCTGACTAGGGCAGGGTGTGGGAATAGGCTGCCTCTAATTGTCCCTTGTTTATCTTGTTGATGCACCTGTGGTTTCTTTTAGCCATGGCTGTTTTTCTAGATAGCAGGTCTGTGTGGAGGGAGCTGTCCTTTTAGCCTTGGGTTTTTATTCTAGATGGGAGCAAATTGGTTTCCATCAGATAGTGTTGGTTGTGGTGATTGATTTATTTATTTTTTTACATCTGGTTAAGCAGGGTAGCTTTCTGGCTCTTTTGTGTCTGGACAAATTAAAGGCTTTGTAAGGCATAGCTGTCCTAAGGGAGATTTTTTTTTTTTAGACATCTGACTTGCCAAAGTGTGGTCCTGAAGGCAGCAAGACAGTTTTACAGCATCAGGAAGAGACCTACACTGAATTTCTTTGTTAAGCCATAGATTTTCTGTCTGGCTTTTGGCAAGTAATTTTCTAGGCTTGACTTCCCCATCTGCAGAACTGGGATAAGCTATCAAGCCATCTCCTCTACATGGTGTGAGAGGAAAACTGTATTACAGATCACACAACAGATAAAGGTTGTAAGTGCTGCATAAATGAACCTGAAGACCTCACATGTTCCATGTGTTTCTTGTGCTCCAGACTTGCCCTGAAACTTAGAGGAAAGCTGTTCAGAGAAAAGTAAAATCTGGGCTGAAATGCTTAAGCAGGCTTTGCTACAAAAGCCTTTTGTGAAATAGAGTGCTTTGGTTCAATTAACACATACCATCATGTTAAGTGGAAGGTAAAAACACCCACCTCTTTCTCTCATGTACCTGGCAATAGGAGGTGTTCAAGGATTATATCTTTTTATGCCTGCAGCTTCATTTTTTTTTATACTGTGCACGGATTTTAAAATTCTTTAATTTTAGTTGTGCGTTCTCTCACGAGAGATGGGAAAACTGACTTTCTCATTTAAAATTCACTGAAATTGTGGATTTTATACTTAGAGCAGAGCTTAGGTCCTTCAGGCAGGCTCTTGCATGTGTTATCTGTTAGAAATAGCAACAAGGCTACCCTGGATGCAGAAGACAGATCCACTGATCTAAACATACGGATTTATTTGTTTTATGCTGCATGTTATGGTTTTCCACCAAGTTACGCCTCAAGGAAGCAAAATAACATTTGAAATGCAATTCATTGGGTGGATAATCCTTTGTGGATTTGCGGGAGATGTGCCTCTCTCTCGGCATATCCGTGTCAAACCATGCTTTTGGCGTTTGCACAGGATGAGTGTCGGGAGTTTCGGGATCTGTTCAACAGAGGGAAACTTTCCTGCACCAGGGAGAACGACCCAGTCCGGGATGCCTCTGGGAAGCAGCACAGCAATAAGTGCATCATGTGTGCAGAGAAGTTGTGAGTAAAGGAGAGGAGCCTGGGAAACCTCTCCTCCCTGGAGCACCCTGGTATTCACTTTCTCATCTCTCTTCTCTTCCAGCAAAAGGGAGAATGAGCAGAAGTTATCTAAAAACAGACAAGGAAAAGATAAGGTGAGATTAAAGTATTAGGCAGGTCAATATGGAACTTTATTGGATTTTCACCCAAGACACAGAAAAAGGAATGTTATTCTACTCCATTGCTCTTTCTCCTCTGACTTAATTTTGAGATCCACTTTCCTTATGCTCCTTATTTCTTATTCATGCTCTTAAATCCCTCAAGTGAACAACTTGTGCCTGAATGTTATGGTCTGCCCCACTGACCTGTGGATCTAGGGACAGGCGAATCCTGACAGAGCAGGAAGCCAGGTGTGCTGTCCTGTCCCAAATTTCAGCTCTCAGGTGGAGAGGTCAGTTCTGCTGAGGCTGCTAATTAGTGGAAAAGGGAAATGTGTGAAAAGCCCCAAATCTGAACTCTGCACAGTTTAAGAGATCATTGTGTCCTGGGAGATGTCAGCTCTGCACTATCTCCAGGCCTGTGGCTCAGTTTTAGCTTTTTTTTGTTGGAAACTTTGTTCTCATGGAGCTGTGATTTGCCACCTTCTCCCTGGCACGCTGCAGCCTCCATGTTGCTGTGCACTGATGCTTTGCTGGCAAAAGCAGCCCAGTAAAGGGGAAAATAGTTGCTTTCCACCACTTTGCTCTTGATTCCTGCTGTGGTAGGGACCGGTGCGGCCCCCTTAAGCTTCAGTCTTGGGGATAATCCTGTTTTAGTGCTTTTTCTAATGACTTTGGCACCAAAAAATAGAAGTGTAAGTGAAATTTGCTGATGGCAAAGCTGGGAGGCAGTATCAGCAGAGGAGGATCAGCAGATCACTCAAGACTAATTGGATAGTGCTGAGGCCTGGAGTAATAGAAACAAGATAAAATGTAATGGCAGTGTGAGATCACACAGTCAGTGCTTAACAAGAATTCCTACTCATTGGGTAGAAGTGACAAAGGATAAGAAAGCCCCGCATTTATTAGTGGGTCAGGGATGTTACAGGCCATGAAAAAGGCAAATGCACGGCTCAGATGTACTCGGTGAGATTTTTGCAGCAGAGGTCAGGCCTGAACAGGGCTCCAGAAATGCTGGCTCAAAGGGAAAATGTTTGAGAGGCTCTTAGGGAAAGGCAGATCTGTCAGCAGAGGATTGGACTGCTGAGCTGGGCTGGTCCCAGGGAACAAGGAGAGCTTCCCTGGGCTTGTTGGGAAGGGAAATCATTGCCTGAACTGTGCAGGGGTGTGAGCTGGTGGTGGGGAGAAGCAGTGAGGCTCATGGGGAGCCCCTCTGGAGTGGGTAAAACACTGATTTCTGATGGGACAATGCTGTATGGCTGTTGGCACAGCAGGAGAGGCTCATCCAGGGCCAGATCATCTCTGCTACCTGTGGCTGGGGTGGCTCTAGGGAAAGTTGCCAGCATTACCCTGGTGGGAAAGCTGAGGAGCTGGAGGCTGGGGTGGCCTGGATGGGGGATGAGAACAACACTGGGGAAAACTTCCCCTGCAGAGAGATGAGGTGTTGTAAACTTCTGAGCAAAGCAAAGGGTGAGCCCAGTGACCTGCCAAGGACCTTCATGCGAGCTAACAAAACTGTGCACAAAATGGGCAGAAAATTGCAAGCGTTAAAAGCTGTTTTTAAAAAGAAAAGGGTAAGCGGAAGTCACTTCCTTACCCTTTGTACTTGCTGTTTGGAACTGCCTATTGCAGTGTGTGAAATAGTTGAAATTAGGGGGACTGAATGTTTCCATCTGTGTTACATAACAGGGACAGGTTAACACAGTTTCTGTACAGCAGTTTTGAACAAGGAACAAATTAATCATCCACTCTCCAAACAACCTTCCTGTGCTCGTGGGCTATTAAGTGTGTTTACATTGTGCTTTTATGTTTTAACTGCTACTTCTTGATTGACACGTCCCAAAGTGTGGCGGGTTTGGAGGATCCTACGCGCTTTGTAAAGAAAATTATCTTGAGCTACAATCTGGGAAAAGGCTGTAGCCATGTATTAAGGATGTTGGGAGAAAAGGGAGTGACTTCATTGCTGTATCGGTCACATCACTGGCATGCTTTGGATAGCCCAGCCAGGAGAATAATAATTAGTGGGACCATACTAGAGAACTCCCAACACGTGCTGTGCAGGCAGAAGGACCCGGAATTCTTCTGACTCACCCCTCTGTTTATATGCTAAGTGGCTGCTACTGCACACCCTCTTCTCTCACCCCCACCCAGACTCTCCTGTGATGCATTTGTGTTGGTTCCGTGCTTTCCTGGCAGGAAAACCCCAGGTTTCTAGGGATCTGATCAATAAGGCAAGGAGGACAGAGTGCCCTAACCCTGCCCTCCTTCTGCAGGATGACTGCAGCGAGTTCCGCTCCCAGTTTGAGGCTGGCGGCCGCCTGTCCTGCACCAGGGAGAACGCCCCTGTCCGGGACGCCTCTGGCAGGCAGCACACCAACAAGTGCCTCATGTGTGCTGAGAAGTTGTGAGTACCCCTGTCGCATTCATGTTTTCTGGAAAATCCCTTCACCCGGGATTTTTCTCCCTGGAAGCTGAGAAGCCTCAGAGAAAAAGGAAAACAATTTTGTCTCATTTGCTTCTCGTGTTTTGCTGCTTTGGAATGTGTTTAGAGATTGTTTATCCAACAGGTGATTGTTTCATTAGTTTCTGCTGTGAGTTGTTTTGGGGCCAAGCTGTGTTAGGACTCTGGAAAGAGTCACGAGTTTTCATTATTATCTTTTTAGCCTTCTGTAAGTATCCTTTCTGTGTTCTTTAGTATAGTGCACAATAGTATTTAATATAATATAGTATCATAAAATAATAAATTAGCCTTCTGAGAACATAGAATCAGATTCATCATTCCTTCCTTTGTCTGGGCACCCTGCAAATACAATATACCCCTGTCCCTGAGCAGCAGCAGCAAAGAGGGAAACCTCTGGCTGCAGAAGTGCAGCTTCTGCCTGTGAAGATGCCTCTGGGCAATGCCTGGGAGAGCCCTGACTCCCAGTGGCCCTCCAAGAGGTGCTCTGGCAGTAGGGCTCCTCTTCCCCCTTCCCTTTCCGCACTAGGGGCCCGAGGGCAGGTGGGAAGCAGTGTGGAGTAGAGGAGGAGGAGCAAGGGTGACAGAGCAGCCCCTTTCCCAGGGGACTGTCGGGCACAGGCAGCTCCAGAGGACTTTCCCACATGTGTACTTTGCCTTCCAGATGTGCTCTCTCTCTCTAGTCCCATAGAGCTTATGCAGAAGCAGATCTGATATAAAAGCAGCCACTGGGAACAAAAATGTAGCATACAGTGGGAATTTGGAGGAAAAAGGGAGAAGCCTTAGGGTGGGAATTAGGAACAGGACCACCAGGAACAGGGACTGTGGATGGGAAGGTGGGACCTAGTGCCATGACACTGGCATGCATTGTCTTACACTGACACTGCCCTTGGATGCTGGTGGCACTCACACTTCTCCTCTTCCCTTCTTCCAGCAAAAAGGAAGCTCAGAGAGGGGGTGGAACTCTCCAGCGCAACAAATTGCCCACTTCAGAGAGGACAAAGCAGGTGAGATGGAGCTCAGAGCCTGTGCAGAGCTCAGAGCGGGTCTGGTGAGAGCCTGTGGGATCAGGATGGCCAGGGGCTGCCTGTGGTCAGCCTGGGGTGATCAAGGTGTTTAGGATTCTGTAGCCAGCTAATCATGGGGGTGAAGCTTTTGTGTTTCCCTCCTTTGTGGGATGGACCTGGGTGTGAGCATACAAACTGGACATGTTTGCACCTGACAGAGCTGCCCCTCTCACTTTCCCAGTGATGTGATGCTATATGAGAGATAAAGGGCAGGTTCAGACTCCCCACAATCCTGTGAACCCTTGGGATGATAACATTTGGTGGGTATGGAGTGCATCAAACTTGCTACTTTAAGAACAGAATTCTTTAGGTCAGGGGGGATCAGGGAGCAGGGCAGGAGCTGCTTTAGATTTTTTCCCTAGTTGCATGGAAGTTGTTTCTGTGGTTGTTGAGTGTGTTCTGCTCATTTTGCAGAAGAACTGTGGTGGCTCACGGCAGGGTGTAAACGAGAGGCGTCCCTTCTCCTCGGGCAGAGGGTGAGTTCAGCCTGTCCCCACACACACCACCACCCCTGGCACTGCTTCCTGCCCCCTTCCATGTCTTTTTTGGGGGTGGTCAGGAGATTAATTGGAGCAAGAATGGTTGGACAGCACAGGAGCAGCATGGCCTGGGATGGAGCAGTGCACTACAGCTCTTTCCATGGGCTGAGCTGGTGATGAGGAATTACACACACTGGGGCATGTCTCTCCTGCAACCCTTGCTCCATTTTGGCCTTGATGTTCTGTGTATGAAGCACCAGTGATTGCTGTGCTCAGAATCTCTCTCAGGACATTCTGTCCAGCAAAATCTGTCTCCTGGCAGTGCCCACGTGCGTGCCTGGCCCTGGCTCAAAGGCAGTGCCTGGTGCACCATGTGCTTTCTGGGCGCTGCTCAGGCAGGAGCTGTTTGTTTTGTACCTGTTGGCCCTGACAGGACTCAGATGCTGCTTTTTCTGGGTCACGCTGAGATTTCTTGCTTTTGCCTGGTGCAATTCCTTCATGTCCCCCTTACATCAAGTGGGAAGACAGACACAGGGCTGCTGGGAAGACAGACACAGGGCTGCAGAGCCCCGGGGTGGTGGTGCTCTCAGACTGAGCACAGGGCAAGGCTGTGTCCTGCTGTTGGCTTCCTCCCTTTCAGCATGTGCCTGGGGGCTTCCCTCCCTCTCCTCTCCTGGGGGTGGGTGCCATGGTGAAAACAGCCCTCCAGGAGCCGAGGGGGTCTGCAGGGAGGGTGGGTTTGCACTCTGCTCCCCCTGTTTGGAAGGAGATGGTGCTGAACTGGATCTCTGCTCTCTCTGCCAGCCCACAAGTCCAGCGTGGCAGGAACTGCAACCGGCCACCGGGCCGCAAGTCACAGAGCAGAGACAGCCAGGAGGACCCCACGGTAAATCCACCTCCTGCCCCTGGGGGGGCACCCGTGTGGGCACAAAGGGGGCTCCTGCCCCTGGGGGGGCAGCCGTGTGGGCACAAATGGGGACCTTTCCCATGGGATGCTCCTCTGCTGGTGCTGAGCCTCCTTTCCCAGCAGCTTTTCCTACTCTTGCTTTAACCCTGAAGCTTTTCACTTGGCTCCATGACCTTGGAAGGGTTTGAATGAGTGAAAGTGTCTGTAGCCTGCTGAAATCCCCTGGATCACCTGGCATGGAAACAAAGGGAAGGGCTTGGCTCCTTGTGGAAGCCCCCCTGCTCTGGGGGTGTGGGTCTTGAGCTCAGGTTGGAATCCTGCCCCACATGAAGCCAAAATAGGGTAAAGGGTGTCACCTCCCCAAGATAAAGGCCAAAAGGCCGTGGTCAGAGCAGTGTGGTGGAGGTGACCAGGGGATGATGAGGACAAGTTTGGCAGAAGGAATGAGTGCTAAAGGGGGAAACTCTGAGTGGTAGATGACAACTGTGTATGGAATACTGTAGGAGGAAGGTGGGGGTGTCTGCTCTCCCTTCTCATGAGAAGAAAATGGAATAGTTCCAACAAAGCTAAAAGTGGAAAATGTGAACTAATAAGAGAAAATAAGTTACCGTAAAAAGGGTGACTAAACTGTGGATCTCGCTATCACAGGGTGTTGTCTAGAGGTAGGATGGTTAAAAAAATACCTGATGTTTTAATCCCTCCAGACTTTTCATACAGTAATTTAAATAACATTCTGGAAGAGATAGGAAATGTGTTTCTATGGATTTGGAGGGATCTTACTACCAACTGCCTTAACTCTCTCTGAAGCCTCTGCCATGAACCACTTCAAGAAGAGGGATATTTGAGTTAAAACCCCAATAAATAGTTCAGGTACTGTAATTTTGATGTATTCCAGAGGAAGCATTAGGTGTAATAAGGCCAGTCTGCTTCAGGGCTTTGTGGTATTTCCTGGTAGCACCGGAGGGGGAGTGGATGCCGATGAGCCTGACAGACCAGAGGTGATTCAGGGAGCAGCTCTGCTCCTCTCCTCTTTGCAGGGCCGCTTGTGGGCTTTGTCACAGACAATTCCCAGAGCCAAAGGAGAGGTGGCACTGGCTGCTGGCACCTGTGATGTGTGGGGCTGCTGGTGGGGCGGCCTCCTGCCCTGGGCTGTGGTGCAGGCAGCAGTGTCTGGTGCATGGGAAGGCATCCGGCAGAGGATTGCAAAGGTCAGCACTGTCTGCTCTCACGTCACTGATAATTAGCCAGATGAGGGAGGAAGCAGCACATTATGGAAATTAGCAAGTGACGTTTAACCAGCAGGTGCTATCACAGCACCCCAACATCACCAAAGCCTCCCCCTGTTCTGCCTGGCACGAAATTCTCCTTCCCTGGGGTGCTGCCTGCTGCTGATAAACCATCATTTTTGTGCTGAATGCTGCCTCTCCAGGTGGAGGAGGAACTGGAATGTTCTCTCAGACCCATCGCACCATCTGCAGCCATCGCAACGCATTTTGTAGCACTGGAGAAAGGGGTCGGGAGCCCATTAACTGCTTCTTCGTCTCGGTTTTTTTCTTTTCCTGGGGCTGAGGAAGGGGCTGTGAGTGCCAGGGAACAGGCTGTGCTATCCCTGACCTCTGCTGTCGGAAATCTGCTATGACTGTACAAACACTCCGAGGGTGCGGGAGGCTTTTTGGGGGATCCCTGAAGGTCACTCCTTGCTCCCTCGGTGTGTGCCACAGGGAAAGCTGTGCCTGGGAGTTCCCGTTGCCGTGCTCGGAGGCAGCACGGGGGCAGCCCGGTCAGTCACAGCCCCGGTGTGCCGCGGGGGGCGGCAGGAGCGCGGCGTGCCGCTGCGCCTCGCCTCGGCACGGGGCTTCAGCCCAGCCCTTGGCGGTGAGCGGGGTCGGCATGCTGGTAAGGAGGGCGAGGTGCAGGTAGAAGATGGATGTGCTTTGAGAGAAATAAACCTTGTGGCGGACCGTGGTGTTGGGGTGGATCGGCGAGCGGGGAGTGAGGTCCCCTAAAGCTTGGCTGGCTGGTCCAGCAAGGGACATCTGGCTGGATGTGATACAGGACAGGGCTCTGTCCCCCTGAGTTTGGCTGGCTGGTCAGCCAAGAGACATCTGGCTGGATGGGATACAGGACAGGGCTCTGTCCCCGTGAGTTTGGCTGGCTGGTCAGCCAAGAGACATCTGGCTGGATGGGATACAGGACAGGGCTCTCTCCCCCCAAAGCTTGACTGGCTGGACCAACAAGAGACACCTGGATGGATGTGATACAGGACAGAGCTCTGTCCTCCCAAGCTTGGCTGACTGGTCCGACAAGAGACACTATGTCTTTACAAGTGTGGCCTGGCTGGATGTGATACAGGACAGGGCTCTGTCCCCCAAGCTTGGCTGGCTGGACCAACAGGAGACACCTGGATGGATGTGATACAGGACAGAGCTCTGTCCTCCCAAGCTTGGCTGACTGGTCCGACAAGAGACACTATGTCTTTACAAGTGTGGCCTGGCTGGATGTCATACAGGACAGGGCTCTGTCCCCCAAAGCTTGGCTGGCTGGTCTAACAGGAGACACCTGGATGGATGTGATGCAGGACAGGGCTCTGTCCCCCAAGCTTGGCTGGCTGGTCCAACAACAGACATCTGTCTGGATGTGATGCAGGACAGGCCTCTGTCCCCGCAAAGCTTGGCTGGCTGGTCAGCCAAGAGACATCTGGCTGGATGTGATGCAGGACAGGGCTCTGTCCCCCCAAGCTTGGCTGGCTGGTCCAACAAAAACACTATGTCTTTACACATGTGACCTGGCTGGATGTGATACAGGACAGGCCTCTGTCCCCGCAAAGCTTGGCTGGCTGGTCAGCCAAGAGACATCTGGCTGGATGTGATGCAGGACAGGGCTCTGTCCCCCAAAGCTTGGCTGGCTGGTCAGCCAAGAGACACGATGTCTTTCCAAGTGTGGCCTGTTTGGATGTGATAGAGGGCAGAGGGGCCCCAAGCAAGGCTTGGTTTGTGAGCACCTTCAGGCCACGTAAAGGAGGGTCTTGTGAGTGAACCGTCACCAAATGTGGTTTCTTTCTCTCTTCAGCTGGACTGTGATCGAATTCTGCATGGGGTAAAGGGTGGAAGGATTTTCTGCAGCGAATCCTCACAACCAGTCTGTGGCACTGATGGGAAAACATACAAAAATGAATGTGACTTGTGTTCAGCTGCCATGTGAGTAGGCGGAGAGATTTCAGTAATACAGGGCCATCCACCATTCCCGAGTGTCTTTTGCAGAACAGTGTTTGTTTTGATACATCATGACTCACTATCAAGTGTGTCCTTGGTGCTTTGCTGTTAAGCAAACATAGATCAAAATGCCTGAGATTAATCTGATGACAGCTAATTAAGATACACAAGTTGCCAGGGTCCCCTATTCCCTCTCCGCCCAATCATGAATTGTTTGGGGAGCAATAAATGCCATCACATTGGAAGTAGCATCAAAGCATTAAGGAGCCCACAGAGGACTGTCATGCCAGCAGCTGAGAGCTGTGGCATTGCAAGTGAATAATAAGCAATGTCTTGTCCTCCCTTTGCAGGAGAGCTTCAAACTTCATCACGGTAAACTATCGAGGCGAGTGCCGAGAGCCCGGCCCTGCAGTGGTAAGCAGCAAACCACAGCTGGGCTGCCCAACACCATTCTCTGCCTTTCCCTGGTGGAAATTCCCCGTTGGCACCGTCTCAGCCTGTGCTGACCTGATCCAGGCAGCCACAATGGGCAGTGAGGAATGAGGAGTGGCTGGCACTCAGCAGCTGCCCACTGTGCCCTTCAGCAGGAGCTGGGTGTCCACACTGGGACCTCGCTGAGGTTAACAGAGTTAGCTTGTTCCTTCAGCTAACAGCGGGCTAATTAGAGGCATGCTCTCCAGCTGCTCTTCAGCCACGTTGGCTGGGAGGGAAGAGAGGTATTGAAGCTCCTATGTCTATTTTATTTTGTTCCTGGAGTGGAATGATGCCAAGAGGTGAAGAAAAGAAAGTGCCTCTTGGCTGTGTGTAGCATCCCACTTTACTCCAAGTGCCTGCTGGGGAGCCAGCCTGGCCTCTGCACCTGTGACAGGATCATTAGAGCCCCAGGAATAGATTCTCATGGTCCAGATGTTTAAATACAGGTTGAGGCTCAGATTTAATGCATAACCTGGGCATAGTCTCTGTGTTTTACCTAGGCGGTGTGGTAGGAGTGTGATGTTTGGGAAAACAGCTGACTTTCTTCCTGGAACTTTGATGGAACTGTATAAAGGATAAAGGGCTTCTTCCCTAAATAATATCCAGGGAGATGGTTGGGGAATTAAGATAATTCACTAGGTGGCACACTTTCGGGAAAGGTCTTGAGCCTTGACATTTTGTGCAATCCCAAAGAGCAGATGAGTTAAACATTTCTTAGCTGTGCTTTGTCTTTCTACCAGTGCAAGCTGGACAGCCTCCAGCTCTGGGATTTGCAGCCAGTGTCTCCCAGTTGGTGACTCTGTGCATGGGACGTCCTGTGGCACCTGGGGAGGACTGCCCTCGTTGGCATGAACTCTTGAGAAACTGAATCCTTATCCCCAGGGAAATAGATTGGTTCCCACTCTAAACCCATGGAAAATCCAAATATTGAACATCGCAAAGAGGTTTCTGGGAAGTTTTGGGTGGGAGCATTGGTTTCTGAGTATGGATTTGGTATCCATGTGTTTGCAGGCACAGTGGGATGTGGGCTATGAGAGATCCATCCTGCTCTAGTGCCATTCCATGCCTTCCTCTGCTCAGTGCCAGGACACCAGCAGATCCCCCAAACCTGGCTCCTTTCCCCCTCTTCTCTAAAGCAGCAGGGTGCTCTAAACTTTGCTTAAAGTCAAAGAGATTGCAGTGCAGAGAGAAATAATTTTGCCTGTGACAGTCCTGGAGGCCTCTGTGTCGCAGTTTTTAGGGAGATGGAGTTAGCCTGTGGGTACAGGGAGATGAGGCACTACAAAAGCCTGTCAGTGACTGTGTCCAAGACAGAATGAGACTGGATGCACTGTGGCAATGGAAAAATAGACAGGATTCCCAAAAAACTGTGCTTGGTCTGGAATTCCTACTGTCTCACTGACCTGTTACAGCTCTCGAGCTCTTGCAATAAGAGGGAGATGCCATTTACTGGAAGTCAGAGAGCTTGCAGCTGTGTTAAGTATTCCAAGGAGAGATGGATGCAATTAGAAGTCAAAGTGCTAAGATTTTTTTTCTTGAGGGAAGAAAAGCTAAAGCCCCCCTGCACAATGATGTATTCTTTACGTTTATTAAGTCACCTGAAGAATTGGGCTGGAAATTTATGGGAGCTTATAAACAATGTACAGAGCAATGTTATTTTCAGCACTAAAATTCATGCTCACTTGCAGTATAATGAATTTTTCTTTCTGCTGAAGATTCAGGCACTCAATATATGCTACTAAAACCTGGAGGAAAGCAGCTCCAGCAGCGCTTTTAGCATCAGAAATGGGTTTAGAGAGTTGCAATGTGCAGAATGTGAAATACTTTGGAAGAAGATAAGAAATTGTTACCCCAAAATTGTAGTATTTCCTTGAGTTGTATTTTCAAATTACCCATGGAGAGTGCTGGGTTACCTGAGAAAAAATGTGTGTTAAAGCTGCCTCATCCCTTTGCAGCCCAGGGCCTGCAGCCACCCCTGCCTGCAAAGCTCCAGCTGGATTTCCAGGTGTTTCTGGTGGCTCTGGTGACCTGATGGCCATCAGGGAAGGATGCCTGTGGGAAGGCTTGGGAGCAGTGTGGTTTGAGAGAGATCTGACACTAAAGGGTGTATCTGGGCATGGCTGGGGTGGAAAACCTTGCTGCAGAGAGAGTCTGTCCCCACTGGGGAGACCTTCCCTGGGAGGTCTCTGCCATAACTGAATTCCTTTGATGCTGTTCTGCTTTACTGATGACAAATATAGGTTGGCATCGTGGGATAAGCTATCTTTTTTTGGTAAGTTAACTGGCTGGTAGGTCCTGCAGGGCTGTGTCACATGGATGAATTGATTGTGGGTCTTTCCTGCACATTTGACTTTTAATCCTGCATATCTTGCAGTTCCTTTACTTGTTCAAAGGTTTTTCACACTAATCACCTGGGCAGTACTCACCAGCCTGCCCACGCTGGTCAACAGATCAGGGAAAAAAGGGGTTATCCAGGGTTTCTCCTTTTCTTTTTTAAACCTGTTTCTCAACAAACAGATAACTCTCACGTTTGCAATGGGCAAGTCCCAGTTTCCTTACAATGCTCTGTTTTGCCATGCTACTTTTAAAGGAAGTGAAAGGAGGGAAACAAGAAAAGCAGGACCTTTTCCAGATTAGAAAATAGGTGTGGAAAGCACCTAGCTTGAGGCTGAAATGAATCTTGTTTTCCTCAGCTGGCAGTGGCCCAGCCTGCCTGCCCTTGTGCCAGGCTCTGCTGCAGTTGTCTCGTGTGGCACTGAGCTGGCCTGAGAGGCTGTCACACCCACATCAGTGTCACCCAGATGTGGTCAAGCTTGGGGATGGGCTTATTTTTTTTTGCTCTTCCTTTCCAGGAGTAATGGAGTTCAGACTGCCAGCAAACACCAGGGATCAGCTGTGACAAAAGGTATGGACAGAGAAGGGCAGTGGCTTAGCCCTGCTTGGCCAGCCTGTCCTTAGGAGGCTGTGTTTCACCTCGTTCTGACAAACTCCAGGGCCAGGACAGAGGGTTCTGCAGACTTTTTTCTCTCACTGCAGCCTTATGATGGTGGGGCTGAGCCTGTGGGGACTTGGGCTCTGCCCACTCCTTTCCCCTGGCTCTGTTCCTTCAGCCAAGCTGTTCCTGCAGAGCAGGGAGGATGCTGGCAGAGTGGTCCCCCATCACAGGGAAGCAGGAATGGCCCAGAGCCCCTGCAGAGCATGGGAACATCACAGCTTTAAGGTTTCCTCGTGATCCTTTCTGGGATTACAGCAGTAAACTGTCTGCCCTCTGTCTCTGCAGAGCGAGTAAAGAAGCGTCGATGTCGAGCATCAGGGGAGCTGCCGAGCCCCCAGGACTGCCAGAGCTGCCTCCATCCCCTTCTGCAGCCCACGGGGCCTGTCCTTGCTCAGGTGGAGGGCGAGAGGCTGTGGGGACTCAGTGCTGCCTTCCCAGGTGTGCCCCGTGCGTGCTGCTGCAGTCCCTGCCGCCTCGCTGTGTCTAAATGTGCTTCTCCAATAAAGATAACTCCTCAGCTTCATGTCACTTTTCTTCACTCAGCCTCGGGGAGGGACACAGCAGTCCCTGCTCTGGCTTTGCACCATGTGCTCCTTAGGCAATGAGCACCCTGAGGTGCAGCAGCTGCTGTAAATACCTGGCGAAGATGTTGGACCCAAGGAGGAAGAGTGTGGTCTGGGGTTTTGTGAGGAGGGGCCAGGGGTCAGTTCTCTCTGGCTCTTATGGGGTCTTGGGTCAATCACTTCACTGCCCTATCAGCCCTTTTCTCCTGCCTGTAAAATGAACATTAAACAATACTTACCTACCTCAGAGGGTTGTTTGAGATTTGTTTGGTTTACAGTTGGAGACCTACAGAGGAAAATTGGTTGTAAAGAACCCCTTGTCTTGGGCTGGCAGTTTAGATGATGCACCAAGTGTCCTCTTCCAGGTTTCTCCTGTGAGGCACTGGGAAATCCAGACTTCACTTTGGAGCAACGCTGGGAAGCAGATACATCTTGAGTGGTCATTTTAGGAGATGTGCTGGGCCCAGAAAGGTCTCTGGGAGCTGGAGGTGTGAATTTGGCCAGGATTTCTTGCTGTGGGAGGGCAGAAGCACTGATGGCACCCTTGAGGCAGTGCAGGAAGCTCAGCCATTGTGGTGGCCCATGGACCCTCTGCTGCTGGGTCACCCTCTGCCCTGGCCTGAAGTTCCCTGTAGGCTCAGGTCAGTGCCTGTCTCGGGAACCATCTCCTGCAAGGGGAGGAGGATCCTGCCCTTGGGGCTCTGGTGCTGGGGCACATGGAGAAGTGAGAAATTCCATGGTATGGAATGGCTCAAGCTTTTTATGGAGAAGTGGTGCTGTTCTGAGATGTAACTGACCTACAGATTATTCTAATTCATTGATATTCTGAAGCTGTGTTCAGATGAAGCCAGGCCTCTGAGCCAAGGGTTTCCCTGGTTTTTCTGGATATGGGACTGGAGTGGAGTTTGCAGAACAGGAGACACTGATGGTGAGTTCATAGAAAGCTGCTGGTGGTTTGCACGTACTTTCTGTACTCTCTTCTATAGCTGTTTCTTAAAGCAAACAGGTTTTTTATTTGTATAAACCTTATTGCAGGACATTTCCAGAAGACCTTGAATGAACATTTGCAGTGTTTGAGTCCACTTTAGCTGTGACCTGATCTGTAAACACTTTTCTCTTGCAGATAAGGTTGTGACTTTCACATTTTGACAGGATTTTACCTAATACCAATTAATTTCACTCCCACCAAAGACGTAGAATTCTGTCAATTAAGTTATCACATCCTCTATTTCTACTGCAGTTAATGAGAATTGATTATAAACTCTCAAAATGCTTACGCATGCATCATGTTTTATTGCAGCTGATAATAATAAAAATTGATTTTATTATCAGCAGACTTTGCCATAAGTGGTTGTTAATAGTTTATATGCTTATTTTTAATGTGAGCAAACACTGTGATCTAGAAACAAATTATGACTGCCTCTTTCTACCTGGAAAATCCCCACACCAAGTAGAGTCATGTAGGGTGAGAATCACCAGCTTGGGGCTGGTTAGCTGTTTTGAGAGATGCAGATTTTGTCTTTGAGCAGAGATGAAACAAATACATTCTTGAATGTTATTTATGCAGCCTGAGAGTGATGAATGTCAGAGAGTAAAAATGTTCTCTGATGATGTCTGCTCACTGATTCCAGCTAACATCATGTGCAGGGACATCTACATGATTTCATAAAAGCAGTGCACAATTTGTGGCTTAAAATAAATTCTTGCAAATGAAAATCAGTGCACTTGAAAGCTGCTATGATTTGTAGTGATTTCAGGTATTTAAGTTTTCAAATAATGACCCCTAAAACCTTCATTAACTGTGCTTGAAAAGCAATAAACTGATGAAGACTGCCCCAGTAGCCTCTTCTGTCAGTATTTGAGCACCTTCTAAATTTCTCCTGCTGCCAGCAGAAATTACCATCCCCAAAATCACAGCTGGTGATAAGGGATCGTTAATCAGATTCCGAGCCCATCTGCTGAGGAGGCACAGGACAGGGACTTGCTAAAGCTGCCTGTGCTGCTGTGAGCAGCAGGGCTGGCTCCATCCTGCTCCCAGCAGCCTGCCTGCTCGCTCTGCTCCTGCTTTCAACCCCCTTTTGCAGGCTGTTCCAAGGGCTGGCTGGTGAGGAGTGTCCCTGGTGGCACAGCAGAGGATGCCACACGCTGTTACTCCTGGGGAGGAGGAGGCAAAGGCTCATGAGGTGCTGGAGATTTCCCACTTTTCCTCTTCTGTTTGCTCGTGGATGCCCTTTGTGTTCCCCTTCAAAATGGTAACGAGGCCAAGCCAGTCCTCTATGAAACTGGAAAGGTACCAGAGCTCTGGGGACTCTTGGGTTTGCTGTAAATTACACTTTATTAAGGGTGTTGCTTGCCAGTAACCACAGACCCCATGTGGTTCACAGCAGTTCCTGAGGTTTTGCAGAACTGGCATTATGAACTGACTTTGCTCTCCAGCCTCTCAATGCCGTTGGGTTTTGAGCTAAAATGCCCTCCGCAGGAACCTTCAGTGTCTTAGTACTTTTTCCTCCTTTTTTCATAGAAGGAGTCAGGAATTTATGCAACTTTTCAGGTGCACAAGTGCTGCTCTTGGTAGGGAGTGAGGACTGTTGACTCTGGCAGATGCCTCAGCAGACCTTGAACTCCCTGTGGTCTTTTTCATTTGGAGCCTGGGAGCTCTGCCCAGCAGCTCCCTGCTGCTCCCCAGCCACACTGAGGGAGAGCCCTGGCTTGGCCCCATGGTGTGCTCTGCCCAGGGCTCCTTTTTCAGGCTGCCACAGCAGACAGTGCTGGAAATCTTACAGTTTAGGGGCATTTGTTCCTTTAAGAACTTGGTGAATTGTGACATGGAGAACTTGATGCTGTTTGTGCAGGGAAGCCCCTGTGGCTCTGCTGCAGAGCTCTCTTTTCTGCCTCTCCCTACATCCCTGTGATGCTCAGTCCCACCACACAACTTCTGCTATGGGTACCTGGGGATTTCAATGTTATTTGTCTTGATTATCATAATTTCTGCTCCATGGCCCATCTGCTTTCACCTTGGGGACTCATGAATGGGCCTCTCTCTTTCCTCTCTCTAGGGCTTCTGTTTGGCAGCTGTTAGAACATCTGTCTTTCCCTACAAGCCTCTCTCTACTACAGGGAGCTCTTCTCCAGGCAATTTCCTTGGGATCTCCCTGCTCTATTCTGCTGCAAGATCTCTCTTGCTGCCCAGCTCTTCCTCTGAAACTGCAACACAAAAACTTCCAGTGCTTTCCTCTGCAGGAAGGGTGAGTAACTCCGCATAAGTTATTCACTAAAAACAAGATGCAACTGCTTGAAAATTCAGAATACAGACCCTTGATGTAGAAGGTCTCAAAAGAAACAGTGCTGGGTGTAGTAACAACCACCCCTGTGGTTTGAGGGTGGGAAGCCTGGAGAATTTCTGCATGTATTTCTGAAAAAGAGATGAGTTGGCTTTGTTGCCTTCTTTCTTGGCCTGTGTCAGTGAGATTCTGCAGAAATGGAGACAGATGATTCACAGCTGGGACCTGAGGTAACCCGGAGAGGCAGCACAAGAAAGGGGTGGAGTGCTCCTGTCCTGGGCTGCTCAGCCAGGTGGGATTTGCAGCAAAGGAAAATAAACAGGTAGATGTCAACACAGCATCACTGCAAGTGGGAGTTGCACAAGCAGAAGGGTGTAAACACAACCAAAGGTCTCCGTGTCCAGCGTGGGTGGAGTGTTCTGCACCTGCCTCTCTGCTCCTGAAAGGCTCTGTCCTAAGGGAAAAGTTGCTAGTTCCTGGTGGAAAAAGCTTTGCTGAATCACTCTGAGTGAAGCAGGCAGCTCACTGGTAGGGTCACAGCATGGATCTTCCTCATGCACAGGGCAGGAGCCCAGAGCTGAGCTCTGTGTGCCTCAGCTGACCCAGGGGACAGCAGACATGTGCTGTAGCTGCAGTGTTTTCTAAATCCAAATTCCTTCTCTAGATCCTCGACAGGTGTTTGCTCTTCTGTCCCTTTATTCTGCTTCCTATTGCAAACTACTTCCCAAATTTAATAGCTTGGTTGGAAGAGAATTACTTTGCTCTTGACAGAACATGCTGAGTCAATCCACTTTAACTGCAGATTTGGTTTGCAAATAATATCTCCTTTCGGATAGGGTTCAGGTGTCATCGCTGTGGACATTGGCAGGAATTTGCTTGACCATGACAGCTTTTACAGAGCCTGGCAATTAAGTTGTCAGGAATCATTTTCCACTGCCAGGAAGCATTAATGGATCCTGGCCTTGGCTGGAATAAGCCCTGGGAGATGGATATTGTAATCGGGATGAGAAGGGGTCCTTGTAGCCAAGGTCTGCATCCATCCAAAGGTCTGGAGTCCTGGACACTTGGTGGAACTGAGATAAGGGAAAGGTCAGGAAACACAGGGCAGAACATCAGGGGGAAGGAATGGAAATGAGGAGTATGAACAAGGACACCATCCCTCATGTTCCTAGTGTTGCAGGAAATGTTAGCATTTGGAGAGGCTTCAGTTTTGCAAATGCACACTCAAAAGTACTAATATTAGCAGAGCTCCTGGATATGAAAGCAAATATTTTTCCACTAGGTAATCCCTAAAATTGTGTTGTTGTGGATTTGCTTTTCAAGTGAGAAAGATGTTGGAAATTTCCTTCTCTTACAAAATAAAACTGTGATGATTCAACACAAGCTCGTTCTGTTTAAATTGTGTCAAAAAATAGATCTGCAAGCAAGGATTTTGATTACCAAATACAGAATTTGAAAAATGAATAGTGAGAGATTTGGAGAATTTAGGATTCCCAACTGAGAAGTCTGCAATTGAGATTAATCCAAAGAATTGCCAAAAATCTCCTTAAATAAAGGACAAAAGAAGCGTTCAGGGCCAATCTAAGTTCCATTACCTGAACAGTGGGCAAACCTTAAGGAGATATTTGAAGAAAACTAAAGATATAAAGCGTAAAGAGATAACGTACACAGTGAATTTTCAGGAAGCAAACCATGCGTGGGCTAATACCAATCTTTGCAAAGTTGGCTGACTTCCTAGGTAAAGGAAGTACAGTACATCTAGTCTGTGCAGACATTAAAGGCATTTGGCCTCCTGCCCTGGGGGATGGTGTCACTTGGGCTCAGTAAGGTGGGTCAGGGACTGGCCATGGGGGAGGTGGTAGCAGATGAGCAGAAGGTGCCATGATAGTTTTCAGTGAACAGCTAAAAAAGATGGATTTTTAGGACCAAACTTAGTATTTTTG